AAAACTCTCTAAAATTATCTGCCTTCGTTCCCCATTCTTCCCCACCGATAACCTTTCATTTCCATCGTTACGTTTTCCAGGCTGCTGCATGGAGCAAGTCAGACACTGGGTGCAGTTAGCTCGCTCTCGAAAGAGCCGTCAGTTCTGCTGGCAGGTGCTCCACCATGTAATGGTGACTATCCAAATCAAGCACTGGAGAAGCAATTACTTTTCCTTTTATAAGAACAAACCTGCATTGTTATCCAAGGCCAATCACATCACGTTAGAGAGGATAGTAGAGCATCGTGCTACTGCAGTATCTGCCTCTCGACTGTCTCTTCTTTAAAATTATCTCATTTTAAACAACAGCAACATTGTACAACTCAAGTGTTTTCTTTTTGAAGATTTTTATTCTTTTAATTACTGGAACTAGCTGTTATTTAACAGCAGTACAAGATATATTTAGAGAAAGATACCTCTGTAGTAAGAAAAAGCACAAGTTATGTTTACACTGCTGAAAAAACACACCCCACAGCTCAATCCCTGACCACAACGCCGAGGGAGATGCACTGGACCATGGCCCAGCTGCTCTAAGCCAGCCCCTTCACCAGTGACTACGCTATATACTCTACCCTGGCTACCATTTGGCCCGAGCCTTCCCTGGATACCACGCGGCACTCAGGAGCCATCAGCTGTAATTAGCACTTTCTGCTTGTTTTCCCAGTTCAGAGCTGGAAATAATGTCAGGGTTATGGTACAGACTGGTTACTTTCAACAGCACGAGGCCAAGGCTACGTGCTATATGTCCTGAAGCACGGTACAACACGATATACGGAGCAACTGAGGCTGGAAGGTCAGCTCCGAAGGTCTTCAAGGACTCTCCTACGTGGAGGGAGTCGAATCCCCCCAGGTGTGATCTTGTTCACGTGTCTACAAGGAGTACCCGAAGGAAATTTTGCTTTTAATTACAAGTAATTGTACTTAGGTTTTGTCTTGAAGGCAATCATTTAGTCCCCACTCTGCTTTCACAATTAACACGTGTAGAACGTGAACAACTTGACCATCAGGAACGGAGAATGAACCAAAGACTGAGCTACTGTTCAGCACAGAGGAACCACAACTGTGCTGTACAGAAGGACGGTACCAAACCCACCAGTTTTCCATTAAAGGTCAAGCAAGGGAAAGCTCGTACTAAAACTCACTTCATCACCAAGACTGAAAGTCTCCCTCATCTTGCCAGCACGACTTCTTTTTGACTGTGTCCAAAATCTACTATTTGAAAGAGGCTACATCCAAGTCCATGGTTTCATAAACCACACTAAAATTTTAATTGCAGAAATGCAATTAGCTTACAGGGAGAAGTATGATTAGACAGAAACACTCACCAGCTGCAAAGTTTGACATTTTCTTAAGGAACGTCAATCAACAGAGATCGGCTTGGGAACCCAGCTCCCCATGTGCACCGAGAGATCATTGTTGAGTCTGTATTTTTATCCCATGGATAAACAGAAGTCAACACTTTTGAAGGTTATAATCCCTCCAATTTACGCATGGTCTACAGGATCTTTTGTTTTTGCGTTTAGAACACCATGTTCCTATTACTGCGCTGATCCAGGAAATTATCCATGGAAAAGATTTATGCATACAGCCGTTTTCTGTGGTGTTGCAACGCGAGCATTATCAACTTTTCAATGTATTTCTTTTCAAGCACAGGTGCGGCGAGTGATCCAGCAGCACTGTGCTACCTGCTGAGGTTTCACAAGCATCGTTTTGCCAGCCAGTCTATAGAACTGTAAGCAAAAAAGAACAGTGCAGGGAAATAAACCAGGAATTCATTTTTATTTGGGTTCCACCTCCTTCATGCAGTTGCCCTTTCTAAGGGGCAAGTAGTTGCCACGCACACTGCTTTCTTCAGCAGGTCATGAGAATACCCCATCTCCTTCAGGAGGAGATGCCTGCATAGAACAGCTGCACGTTCACAGGGAATTAATTCTTTTTACAAATACTGTAATACAGAGACTTGCTGAGAATCCTCTTTCCTACACAAGTACCTCTCTCTGCTTAGGTGAGAAGGTTGTTGGGATGGATGGGATTCATCAGGGTAGTGATTCTTACAAAAATCATTAACAATAAAAAAATCCAACTCCTAACATTAGTAAACATGTATACATTTTTCCAAGTGTCCTCTTACAGGTGATATCTGAATAGCTCCAGCAATACAAAAACAGTAGGAAAGAATCCAGATGAGCATGATCAAAAAGTACTCAGTGAAAATCTAATTTAGAAAACCACCATCTGATCAGTAATTTTGATCAACAATAACCAAAGTGATTATACTCCACAATCTAACAATTTCAATATGATTCCTAATTATTGCAAGTATCTTTTATGCTTACAGGTATTCCAAATCCTGTCTGCCTTGGGTCCCAGCAGAACTCATACTAAGTTATTAGTGATGATCACTTCTGGTTACAGAAGAATAATCGATATTCTGCTCTACCTCATACACTGCCTAATTGAATACTCCTCGTTAATGATGACACATGAAGCAGGACTAACAACTTCAGAGATATGAGATGAAGTGAGAGGGCACAATACTGGATATGAAAGTCAAGGAAGCAAAATGAATATGGTAATACTGACAAACTTTTATGGATGCTTTCCTGAACGCAAACAAAAGATATCACTTAAGAAAACATCAGTTTTAGTTATGGCTCAAAAATATTAAGCTGAAAATTCTTGAAAATAAATATCCCCAATTATCCTAAGGACAGATGTGACAGTAAGCACAGCCCACGCATCAGTGCCTTCTCTAATAAGGTAACTCCATCATTTCCTGGCATTCCTCAGGACAAACTCTTGATTTCTAGGGCTACTCCTGTTTCTCAAGTCTCAGCTCCTTGTTTTAAATATTCAGCCCTTTGCTCTGTCACCTGCAGTTGCCAATTTCACACAACATTCAGTCTCTGAATGAAAAAAAACCAAAATCTGACAGTAAGCAATACAGCATAGATTTATTGTAGCAGGCCGTTTGGCAGATTTCAGCCTTGGAATTCATGTTTGTATCACAAGGCAGCAAAGGAATCCTGTAAAACACGTGCCTCCTAACGGATCCGCTCGCGGTTGCCCGCAGGGAGGAGAGGTACATCTGGCTGTGCCGCACTTGTGGCATCCTGGCACCTTGCTGACCCTGGGCTGCCATTCCCATGCACGGTGGCACTTACAGCTTAACTTTTAAATCTCAAATTATACTGCAGGATTGATTACAGAGTAAGAGCAGTCTGATTTTCAGAGGTGCCAAGTCACCTTTTGATGCCTAAATGCCTATCTGTTCTCCCTGAAAAACGCAATTTGAACATCGCAAACAGATTTTTATTACCGCCAACTTTAAAAGGCAAGAGCACTGAATTTCATCCCGAATTCCTGTGTTTGGATTGAGTTTGGAATACCTGTCTGACCACAGAAGCACGAATCACACTTACGTTCACAACAGACTCCTTGAATTTGATGTGAAGCCTGTAGTTCGAAAGCGCAATGATGGCATCCTCCGCTCGTCCGACGTACTCTGTACTCTCACCGTGAAGCTCAATGAACGGGACCTTCAGGATGGGAAGAAAAATCTTTCAGAAACCATTTAAGTACACCCTCAAGCACAGGGCATCACAAACCCACTGCTCAGAACCCAGCCTAGCTGTTATTGCCAAGCAGGAAAGTCTTGGGTAAGGTTGGTTCAGAGGTTAATTGTAGCTTTTTCTTTTTTTTTTTTTTTTTAATGATTCCTCATTTTCTCTTAATTTTCCTGAGTAGTAAGTGCTTGGTCAGGGAAAACAGTGACTTTTCAGGAAAAAATCGGAGCAAAATACCCTCACATTTTGGCAAGCAGTCTCACTGCCTCCTGATTTACGCTCTCACTCTGGAAAGTAGCAACTTCTACAATGTTATTAAATTAATCCTAAAGTAGGCAGAATATGCAAGATGAATAACCTTCTACACTATTGGTCCCCAGTTCAGTCAGCAAGCACAGATAACCAGCTTAGACTGGTTACCTAAATGCTACACAGCTGAAGACAGTTGGGTAAGTTGCACATTTTGCCTCGTATTTCTCACTGCAAATATGAAAATGCACGACACGCTGCTGTTTTATAAAGTTAGAAAACCTGCAGTCTTATTATGTTGCACATAAAAACTGCAACTGTTTAATTAAAAAGGTGATTTAAGCTCAATTTAGCTGAGCTGGGTGAAAAGTATAAATGCCCAACTTGAAAATAATCTCATTTTACAACAACGTAGCTTAAATCAATTAAAAATATTTTATATTAAAACGAAACAAACGACCTCTTCAGTTGATATAAGTGCCAACATGGATGAATCACTTGAACTAAATTGATTTCAAAGGAACTTTGGAAAAATAAGATAAAAACCAAAAATTCATTTTGTGCAACATAAGATTTTTGGCTTCTCAGTAACAAGAAGCAACAGCAGCACTTAACTACCTTAGTGTTACTTTTTAAAAAAGCAAAAGAGTTCTAGCCTATGGAATAAAACCTTCCTTATGCTGGTAAAAAGGGATTATTACGATGTTCTCAGAGCCTGGATTATTACATGAGTAACAGCTACATTGTTCAGAGACTCTAAGGAAATTCTTATAATACAAGGCATAAGGTCTCTGTCCTACCAACAGGACCTGAGTATTTAGACAGAAAACGTGTTTCTCCCATTACTATGCTGAACTGTGAATGAAAATTCTGTGGGAGAGGCCGGAGAAGACACAGGTCAACCAGAGATATTGTGATCTTAACTGGCAAGGAGCAGCGTGGCGATTACCTGGAGGTTCTCATCCTCTCGGATCAGCTGCTTCCTGGGAAAAATCTGATTAGCCTGGATGCATTCAAGGCTGTGCTGAGTCTCCTCATCCTGAGAAACAAAGCGTCACAGTTAACTTCAGCGCTGTCACTTGCTGTCTTCTTCACCACCTAGCAAGCTGTCAACGCCCACGAAAAAGCTCAAACAGGATGGACTGTTCAGAGAATTCGGTATCAGTAACTCACTAAAGTTACTAAACTTTCAAAGACAAGCACTCAAACAACTACATATGATATTAGAAACAGGTTTCCTTCCTGCAGCCTGCTTAATAAAGTCATTAAAAACCACAAAAATGACTTGTAGTAGGATTGGGAAAAATGCATTGGCCTAGTCTAGTCTAGCACTACAGTTAAAATTCAACAATCCCACGTGTAAATATTCACTCTCCAATGCTTTTCAGATTTTATTCTGCCGTGTAACAGACCCTACAAACCCCTTTTGCTTACCATGACAGGCCCTGGACAGGAGGAGAAATCCTCGTCCTTACTCACAATGTTTTGAGGGTCGTCTCCACTTCTTATTAAAATCTAGAAAACCAGAAAAGTGTAATGATGAAGTTGAATTCATTTTCTTTTGGCAAATAAACACAAATTAACTTTCAAAGACTGAGAATTCAGCTATTAGAAAACTGCAAGCAAATAGTAATTATGAAAAGATTAAATCCATATAAACTAACTCTCCTGAGACACAAAATTGTTTCAAAATGTGTCTGGCTCCTTCTGCACATTCTGAAAAATTATCTTCGAACATACCGCTGGGAGAATACCCATCTGAACGTAGTAATTAGACCAATGTTTGTATCATTTAAATTAAAACATGTTCATCTTTCTAAGCCACCCTGAATTTTTCTCCCAAGTCACTTGCAGACGGTGATTCACAAATACAGAGGTCACAAACCCAGCGGGATCATTGCAATCACTTAGTCTGATCTCTTCTGTAACACAGGTTGTCAGATCCTCCTGAAGTAAGATTTAGAATTCATATATGGATAGAATTCCTCATTTTATAGTGATGACTCATTTTCTACTTCCCCAACACAAGAAGGACATGGAGCTGCTGGAGCAGGTCCAGAGGAGGCCACGAAGATGATCAAAGGGCTGGAGCACCTCTGCTATGGAGACAGACTGAGAGAGTTGGGGCTGTTCAGCCTGGAGAAGAGAAAGCTCCGGGGAGACCTTCCAGCACCTAAAGGGGCTACAAGAAAGCTGGAGAGGGGCTTTGGACACGGGCGTGTAGTGACAGGACAAGGGGCAATGGATTTGAACTGAAAGAGGGGAGATTTCCATTAGATCTAAGGAAGAAATTTTTTACGTTGAGGGTGGTGAGGCACTGGACCAGGTTGCCCAGAGAAGCTGTGGCTGCCCCATCCCTGGCAGTGTTCCAGGCCAGGTTGGATGGGGCTCTGAGCAACCTGGTGTGGTTGAAGGTGTCCCTGCCCATGGCAGGGGTGTTGGAACTGGATGATCTTTGAGGTCCCTTCCAACCCAAACCATTCTCTGATTCTACGGATGTATCAAAACATCCATTTTCTTGCACCTACCTTGCCAAGAGCTCCAGCTCATTACACACCAGTGACTTGCGCTCTCTGCTATCTAACAATCCCCCAATCTTTATCGTCTGCAAATCTGCTGGAAATACTACAGAGCACACAGTCTTGAATTTATGCAATTGACCCTGTTAGGAACTTAATGATGGAAGTGAACGCAGGAGTTATAATTTGATTTTGAGATTTATCTTAAATTCAATTTTTTAAGTTCTGGTAGGTTCTTCCCTTTTTAAAAAAAAAGGATTCACTCAGGTATTTTATGGGTTTTGCAGTCCACACTGCAAATAAAAGATACTGACAAAACTGTATCAGTTGAGCTCAGACAGTTCTCAGTCCATACGTCACCTTACTTATAAATATATTTCAAATTATCAGTGTTGTGGTTGACAGAAAACCTCTCTGAATCCACCAGCTCACACACATATCACTACTGCAGGAAGCACTAACTACGTCCTGTACGTCGTGCAGAATATTTACACAGGGAAAAGGAGCAGCAGATGCACATGTTCTGAAACTAAACCATCCCACTGTCTAAAAACAATCAATGAGAAGAAAGCATCGTACTCATCCTCAAAACCTATGTTAAATAGGAACATCCCAATAAGCAAAATGCCTTTATGTCCCCAGTGGAGGGGAGAAACAGCATAATAAATGCTTGCAAGTACGTTCAAAATCCCACAGCTTGCAGAAAGCCATGTGTGTATATATATACACACACACAAGGAAGAAATTACGAGCAGAACTGCCACTAATTCACTAAAAATTAATGCCAAAAGTAGATATAAAAGACTTGATAGAAGTCTGAACCTATCAACTATGGAAACTGATAAGGAAAAAGTGAAAAAACGGCACAGAAATTTCCACACGTACAAGAACAATGGGGAGTAAGAACATTGTTTTAAGCTAACAGAAACAAAGGACATCTAGAAATGCTATTTACCAACAGCAAGATGGAGGCAGTATTGTTGTTAATACTGGTTTTTAAAAGGCAGAACTACCGAACAGTTTTGTTTCAAAGGCAGCAGGAGAAGAAAGATGGTTACACGACTGTAACTGATGAGACTATTCAAGGCTATGATGAGACTACTAAGGCTAAAAGGGTCACAAATTCATCAGGTTTCATCTCCACTATACCAGAGGCCGTAAAATTCCAGCTCTTGTATCCAAAACAAGAGTTTGTGCTTGATTCCAGCATGACTTGGTATTTATGTACATTGCGTTTGCTTATGCTTATCTTCCAAAACCAGGTCCTACTGGGCTTGAAGATACCAAGAAAGGAGGGGT